AATACCTTGACTTTGTTGTCCTTAAGCCATTTTGCCACAACTTTGGAAGTATGCTTGGGGTCATTGTCCATTTGGAAGACCCATTTGCGACCAAGCTTTAACTTCCTGACTGATGTCTTGAGAAGTTGCTTCAATATATCCACATCATTTTCCTTCCTCATGATGCCATCTGTTTTGTGAAGTGCACCAGACCCTCCTGCAGCAAAGCACCCCCACAGCATGATGCTGCCACCCCCGTGCTTCACGGATGGGATGGTGTTCTTCGGCTTGCTAGAACCCCCTTTTTCCTCCAAACATAACAATGATCATTATGGCCAAACAGTTATATTTTTGTTTCATCAGACCAGAGGACATTTCTCCAAAAAGTACGATCTTTGTCCCCATGTGCAGTTGCAAACCGTAGTCTGGTTTTCTATGGAGGTTTCGGAGCAGTAGCTTCTTCCTTGCTGAGCGGCCTTTCAGGTTATGTCGATATAGCACTCGTTTTACTGTGGATATAGATACTTTTGTACCTGTTTCCTCCAGCATCTTCACAAGGTCCTTTGCTGTTGTTCTGGGATTTATTTGCACTTTTTCGCACCAAAGTACGCTCATCTCTAGGAGACAGAACGCGTCTCCTTCCTGAGCGGTATGACGGCTGCGTGGTCCCATGGTGTTTATACTTGCATACTATTGTTTGTACAGATGAACGTGGTACCTTCAGGTGTTTGGAAATTGCTCCCAAGGATGAACCAGACTTTTTTTCTGAGGTCTTGGCTGATTTCTTTTGATTTTCCCATGATGTCAAGCAAAGAGGCACTGAGTTTAAAGGTAGGCCTTGAAATACATCCACAGGTACACCTTCAATTGATGCAAATTATGTCAATTAGCCTATCAGAAGCTTCTAAGTCCATAACATCATTTTCTGGAATTTTCAAAGTTGTTTAATGGCACAGTCAACTTAGTGTATGTAAACTTCTGACCTACTGGAATTGTGATACAGTGAATTATAAGTGAAATAATATGTCCTTAAACAATTCTTGGAAAAATTACTTGTGTCATGCACAATGTAGATGTCCTAACCGACTTGCCAAAACTATAGTTTGTTAACAAGAAATTCTGAAGTGGTTGGAAAAATAGTTTTAATGACTCCAACCTAAGTGTATGTAAACTTCCGACTTCAACTGTATATTTATACAGTGCCTTCAGAAAGTATTCAGACCCCTTGACTTTTCAGACTAGATTTTGTTAGGTTACAGCCTTATTCTAAAATTGATTAAATCGTTTTTTCCCCCTTATCAATTTACACACAAATACCCCATAATGACAAAGCAAAACCAGGTTTAAACAGAAATATTACATTTACATAGGTATTCAGACCCTTTACTCAGTACTTTGTTGAAGCACCTTTGACAGCAATTACAGCCTTGAGTCTTCTTGGGTATGACGCTACAAGCTTGGCACACCTGTATTTGGGGAGTTTCTCCCATTCTTCTCTGCAGATCCTCTCAAGCTCTGTCAGGTTGGATTGGGAGCGTTACTGCACAGCTATTTTCAGGTCTCTCCAGAGATGTTCGATCGGGTTCAAGACCAGGCTCTGGCTGGGACACTCAAGGATATTCAGAGACTTGTCCCGAAGCCACTCCTGCATTGTCTTGGCTGTGAACCTTCGCCCCAGTCTGAGGTCCTGAGCGCTCTGGAGCAGGTGTTTATCAAGGATCTTTCTGTACTATGCTTCGTTCGTCTTTGCCTCGATCCTGACTAGTCTCCCAGTCCCTACCGCTGAAAAACACCCCCACAGCATGATGCTGCCACCACCATGCTTCACCATAGGGATGGTGCCAGGTTTCTGTCTCGGAGCTCTACGGACAATTCCCTCGACCTCATGGCTTGGTTTTTGCTCTGACATAAACTGTCTACTGTGGGACCTTATATAGACAGGTGTGTGCCTTTCCAACTCATGTCCAATCAATTGAATTTACCACAGGTGGACTCCAATCAAGTTGTAGAAACATCTCAAGGATGATCAATTGAAACAGGATGTACCTGAGCCCAATTTCGAGTCTCACAGCAAAGGGTCTGAATAGGTATTTCTGTTTTTTTATTTTAATAAATTTGCAAACATTTCTAAAAACCTGTTTTCGCTTTGTCATTATGGGGTGTTGTGTGTAGATTGTTGAGGATTGTAAAAAAAAAAAAATCATTCTGAATAAGGCTGTAACGTAATAAAATGTGGAAAAAGTAAAGGGGTCTAAATATTTTCCGAAGGCACTGTATATATATATATATATATATATATATATATATACACTACCGGTCAAAAGTTTTAGAACACCTACTCATTCAAGGGTTTTTCTTTATTTTTACTATTTTCTACATTGTAGAATAATAGTGAAGACATCAAAACTATGAAATAACACCTACGGAATCATGTAGTAACCCAAAAAGTGTTAAACAAATCAAAATATATTTTAGATTTTAGATTCTTCAAATACCCACCCTTTGCCTTGATGACAGCTTTGCACACTCTTGGCATTCTCTCAACCAGCTTCACCTGGAATGCTTTTCCAACAGTCTTGAAGGAGTTCCCACATATGCTGAGCACTTGTTGGCTGCTTTTCCTTCACTCTGCGGGTGACTCATCCCAAACCATCTCAATTTGGTTGAGGTCGGGGGATTGTGGAGGCCAGGTCATCTGATGCAGCACTCCATCACTTTCCTTCTTGGTAACATAGCCCTAACACAGCCTGGAGGTGTGTTGGGTCATTGTCCTGTTGAAAAACAAATTATAGTCCCACTATGCCCAAAACAGATGGAATGGCGTATCGCTGCAGAATGCTGTGGTAGCCATACTGGTTAAGTGTGCCTTGAATTCTAAATAAATCACAGACAGTGTCACCAGCAAAGCACCCCCACACCATAACACCTCCTCCTCCATGCTTTACGGTGGCAAATACACATGCGGAGATCATCCGTTCACCCACACGCGTCTCACAAAGACACGGCGGTTGGAACCAAAAATCTCCAATTTGGACTCCAGACCAAAGGACACATTCCCACCGGTCTATATCCATTGCTCGGGTTTCTTGGCCCAAGCAAGTCTCTTCTTATTATTGGTGTCCTTTAGTAGTGGTTTCTTTGCTGCAATTCAACCATGAAGGCCTGATTCACACAGTCTCCTCTGAACAGTTGATGTTGAGATGTGTCTGTTACTTGAACTGAATTTCTGAGGCTGGTAATGAACTTATCCTCTGCAGCAGAGGTAACTCTAGGTCTTCCATTCCTGTGGCGGTCCTCATGAGAGCCCATAATTTGAGCTGTTCTTGCCATAATCATAATAATAATAATAATAATAATAATAATAATAATAATAATAATAATAAAAGGAGGGAGCGAGGGCAGGAGTGAGGGAGCGAGCGAGGGTGGATATGGACTTGGTCTTTTACCAAATAGGGCTATCTTCTGTATACCCCCCCTACCTTGTCAAACACATTAAGAAGGAAATCAATTCCACAAATCAACTTTTAAGAAGGCACACCTGTTAATTAAAATGCATTCCAGGTGACTACCTCATGAAGCTGGTTGAGAGAATGCCAAGAGTGTGCAAAGCTGTCATCATGGCAAAGGGGGTTGCTACTATTTCTCTGAGGTATTCGTTAAAATACGATCAATTAGAGTTGACTTTGAAGGATCTTTAGGGTTAGGCTGTGTAGGCTTAGTCACTAGCTGGGTTAGGTTTAGATCATTAATCCCTACCATATACTCCTCCTTTTCTTTCCTAGATTCCTTTCCTCCTTTCCTCTATACTTTTCCGTTCCTCCTTTTCTAGATCCCTTTCTTTTCCTCCTTTCCTAGCTTTCTTTCCTTTCCTCCTTTCCTAGCTTCCTTTCCTTCCCTACCTACATTTTTTCTCCTCCTTCCCTATCCCTATCTCCTTACCTTTCCTAGCTCCTTTCCTCTTTTCCTAGCTCCCTTTTCCTAGCTTCCTTTCCTTTCCTAATTTTCTTTATTTTCCTCCTTTCCTAACTTCCTTTCCTATCCTAGCTTCCCTTAATCCTTTCCTAGCTTCCTTTCTTTCCCTACATCCCTTTCCTCACCTCCATCCCTATCTACCTTTCCTAGCTCCCTTTCCTCGCTCCCTTTCCTTTCCTCCTTTCCTAGCTCCCTTTCCTTTCCTAGCTTCCTTTAGGGGAAGCACCTGCTTTCAATATATTTTATATCCCTCATTTTGTCAAGTGTTTCCTTTATTTTGGCAGTTACCTGTATGTGGCAGGTATCAACCACGACCAGTAGAGAGGAAATTGAATGGAAGAAGGAAAGGAAGTTAGGAAAGGAGGAAATGAAAGGAAGTTTGGAAAGAAGGAAAGGAATCTAGGAAAGAAAAGGAGATAACGTGTACGTGGTAGAGATTAAAAACGGCCAGTAGATGGTGATAGTATTTGTTTTAGTGACAGGCTCGGTTAAAGCTGCAATATTTAACTTTTGGGCCAAACCGACCAAATTCACATAGAAATATGAGTTATAGATCTGTCATTCTCATTCAAAGCAAGTCTAAGAAACGGTATATATGTTCTATGTGCGCTATTTCTATGCTTCTACACCAGCTTCAAACAGCTGAAAATACAATATTTTTGGTTATGGAAAATATATATCATAGCGGTTGAGCTGGTACAATGATTCTCTACACTATAAGTGCTTGTTTTGTCACAAACTTAAATTAGGCAAACTATTAGAATTAAAGCAACCAGGAAATGGCGGAGCAATTTCTGCATAGTGCAGCTTTAAGGTCTTGATCAGATTGACAATTCTGCAGTCAAACTTCTTTTTAGTGGATATGTGTACAACAAAACTTCAACATTTACCTTTTGCTGCTATTTCTGTCAAGTCTATGCATACAATTTTATTTATACGTTAAGACTGCATTCGTTTTTACTAAACTGTACGTTCTAAATAGCACATGCAGTGTGCAGTTTCAGTAAGTAATAGACAGATTTCTAACACGGCCACTGTCTCTTTAAAAACTTAGGGCGCGTGGTCTGTGTGGAACAGTTGCAGGCTGGGGATAGCCTACAGTATCCTGAATGAGTGTGGCCTCATTTCTGTTAGCTATCAAAGTGATCCACGGTACAGGCAAGTATGTAGGTTTTAATATTTTCCCTGGGTGAAAACGGGATATACGAGTTATCTTAATATAACTACGAGCTGTTTAGTTATTTGGATTCGTTTAGCCGGATATTTTCAACCATGTACTAATGAATCAGCTATCAAGCTAACTTTCAGATAACGTTAACCAACTCATGTTGGAAATGTTAGCTAGCCTAACCTTCCCCTTTAAAATGTAGCTGGTTAGCGTTCGCTTTGTGTTGGTATAATAGCGCACACGTTAGAACACTTTCTGGTTTAAACATACTCATTTGTCAAATGTTAACTTAGTTAGCTAACATTGTCATTGCAATCACAGGCGCTTGTATGCTAACATTAGCGTAGTTCTAGCTAACAAGCTAGCTGACCAGGTTACTGTAAGTTCTGTATTTACTTTAACAATATACACCAGTCTAACAAATGTACCGACAATTGAGGTCAGTAGCCATAGCCATCACCATGTCCTTGGGACGTGTATCAGCCACATGGCAAAAGTTAACAGGATGGTTGTGTAACGTTAGCTTGTTATGAGCTAGTTAGCTAGCCAGAATCAAGTCAGGCAATAGTGAGGCTGAATTGCAATGGCTGTTTGTTTGCTGCCAGGAACAACTAGCTATATTGTTGTGCAGAGCATCGGCGCCTGTCTATCATTACGTTGCATACCACCCTACTCTAGTCCAAGTCTCGCTGTACGTACATCTTGTGGAACAGCTGTCCGCACTGGATTAGGCTAGCCATTGAATGAATAATAGCTAGTGCCTGACATCTGTTCAAGTCCAAAACCACACTGCCCTCTTCCATAGGTCACATTTATTTTGTAACTGATATCCTACTGCTGCAATATTATTGTACCCCACTATTGGAACTGTTATCTGTATTAGTGCTTCCTCTAATGACCTTCCTAAAACGATTGTTTGCTATATTTTAAATGCAGTCTTCATTTTCTGTTCCTACAGGCTTGTTTCCCCCTCAAACCTTCTCACACTAGTTGTGTGTTTTGTGCAGGGTCTGTTGCCGCCATGCCTGCAAAGAAGGCTCCTAAGAGACAGACGGAAAGTAAACCAGAGGCAGTAAAGGATCCTAAGAAAGTTAAAGGTAAGCCACGGACTCTGACTCCATTTAAGCCAATATGAAGTCTATTGTGAGATGTTCAATATCTTCGTCAAGCCGCCTACTTGAACACACCCTAGTATGCAAAATGGACTCCTTTGAAATAGAATCATCATCAGCGTCTGTGCTTGTTAATTGCGCCATATGCGTGTTGTCATAAAGATACTACAGTTTGGATTAAATAATGCTGTTAATGTCAGTTTCCCACAGCAGCCATGGGAAGGAGAAGGGTCTGGTTCTAGTGCTGGGCCAAGGGGACGTAGGACAGCTGGGTTTGGGAGAGGACATCATGGAGAGGAAGAGGCCGGCCCTGGTGACCCTGCCTGAGGGCGTGGTGCAGGTGGCGGCGGGGGGCATGCACACAGTCTGTCTCAGTGACACTGGAAATGTGAGTGAAGGCGGCAGATCCAACTACAACTGTCTCAGATACTGCATCCAATTTCATAAATCCAGATTAAGCATGCTACTGGTCTTTAAAAGCATGCTCAATTGAGAATATCTATTAAATGCTTTTTAGTTCAGGCCCTGTATTAATGAAATGGCTCAGAGCAGTGTTTATTTTGTCAACAGTTACGAAAAATACTCGTCAATGACCTATTTTTCCTGACAAAAACAAATGACGATAACGTGATAAGATGCCCTGAAGAAAAACGATAACTATTCAAAATAACTTTTTAGTTGACAAATGTGATGAGAATTCCACGTGATACTAATTGACATTCAATTTCACATGAAGCTCCTTTTGATCTCCCTTTAAGCTGTTTGTGTCCAATCATAAGCATGCATGCCTTTGCGTAATATAATGCAATATAATTGGTCTTTCAGTTGCGCTGGCTGATTAAGCTGATCTATCTGGCTCTCCCACACACACCGCTACCTGGCGGTCACTCCTCTCTTTTGAATTTTTTATTTTTGTCATTTAGCAGACGCTCTTATCCAGAGCGACTTACAGTTAGTGCATACATTACTTTTTTTGTTTGTTTTTTGTTTTTTTTCATACCCCCCGTGGGAAACGAACCCACAACCCTGGCGTTGCAAACGCCATGCTCTACGAACTGAGCTACATCCCCTGCCGGCCATTACCTCCCCTACCCTAGACGACGTTGGGCCAATTGTGCGCCGCCCCATGGGTCTCCCGGTCGCGGCCGGCTACGACAGAGCCTGGATACGAACCAGGATCTCTAGTGGCACAGCTAACACTGCGATGCAGTGCCTTAGACCACTGCGCCACTGATGCAGTATTACCTTGTGTGCTGTTATTCATCTGTGTTACCGCTCTCGCGGTCAGCGAGTGCAGTTGCTTTTTCCTGATTGGAAATACTAATGCTATTTGCTGAATATTAGGAATACATTAATCATTTTGGCCGTTGTTGGAAAGCTCAGGTTCTCCCATTTTAAAGGGAATCACTGTTATTTACCCACATCACAAGGTTATAATGGGGAGAAAATCTGAGTTGTATAGGCCTAAATTGTTTAACCTGTAGCCAAGGCTTTGTAGCCTATATGATAAATCATGGCTGGCGTTGGTTACAATCTGCCAAAAGCAATGTTGCCAGCTATGTGGGGATAGTAGGCCTATTTGGACAAGGCTATCTTAATGTGAACATTATCGAAGTTGGAGGTAAATATGAATTATTTCATTGGGGGGGGGGGGGTGTAGAGTAATATGTGACTAAAACTGGAAAAATTGTCCAGAGTTTTAGTCGACTGATAACTACGAAATATCGAATTACTAAACCGCCTGATAGCTAAGACTAAAAGACTAAGGCTAAATCTAAAATAGCTGCCAAAATTAACACTGGCTCATAGTAAGAGTACTGATCTAGGATCAAGTCACCTCGCTCTTATTCATCATTTAAAAGGCAAAACTGATCCTAGATCAGCACTCCTACTTGGGAAACACTTTGTGACTATAGAACCAGGACTAAGATTAATCTGGGGCTGGGAAACCGTATCTTAATGAAATATGACTTTACTTGGTAACAAGCTGCTTGTCTCTGGTGTAGATCTACACGTTCGGCTGCAATGACGAGGGTGCTCTGGGCCGAGAGACGACAGAGGAGGGCTCCGAGATGGTGCCGGGGAAAGTGGCCCTGGACGAGAGGGTGGTTCAGTTGTCTGCTGGGGACAGTCACACAGCTGCACTCACAGAAGACGGTGCAGTCTACATCTGGGGCTCCTTCAGGGTGAGTAGGTGACAGGGTTTAACCTCTGTCAAACACCCTGGATACTGTTTATGCGCCATTCCGTTACTCAATCTTAAATCAACTTTCCGTTGACTTGCCTTTTCATCTGCCTTTAACTAATCAAATGGAATACAATTTTATTCGTCACATGCTTTATAAACAACATGTGTGGATTAACAGTGAAACGCTTACTTATGGGCTCTTCTCAACAATGCAGAGAGAAAGAAAATTGAAAAATTATAGAAAGTAATACACGTAAAAGTAATAAATACACAATGAGTAATGATAACTTGGCTATATACACAGGGTACCAGTACCGAGTCGATGTGCAGTGGTACGAGGTAGATATGTACATGCACTGTATAACTAAGAATAAAGTAACAGATAATAAACAGTAGCAGCAGCAGCATATGCCACCTCTATCATAGACCAAATTCAGATAACCTGCAATTCTCACTAATTTCACACATTTTACCATTTGCATTAGGATAACAGCGGAGTCATTGGTCTACTAGAGCCCATGAAGAAGGTTATTGTGCCTGTCAAGGTCCCCATGAAATGGCCTGTGATGAAAATAGCATCAGGTGAGAAATGGGGGATCTGTCCTTAAGCTTTCAGGTTTCTCTGCAGAAGTTCTGCCTGCCCGGAGGTCTGGGCCACGTTCAATAAAAATATGATTAGAACTGACGTGATTCCTTATTCTGCATGTCATAGAGGCATGTTTGTCCTATATCTGAATTTTCTACCATATTGTTTCTTGCTCAATGCTGCCCTGGTTATAAGACAATATTCATGACCTCTGACTCCCAGGGAATGACCACTTGGTGATGCTGACCGCAAGCGGTGACCTCTACACATCAGGCTGCGGAGAGCAGGGGCAGCTGGGAAGGGTGCCGGAGCTCTTTGCCAACCGAGGGGGCAGGAAAGGGCTGTGTATGTGCCAACTCAAACCATTTACCTCTGACACAGTAGTCATTCACCCGTAGTTTGGGTGTGAGCACTCGTATAAAGAATGAATATCTGCACAATTCTTCTTCTGTTTTGACTGCTGTGGGTGACAGTCAGGACATGTGTTTCTGTATGATTACAGTGCGGTTGCTGATACCTCAGATTGTGAAGGTCCAGTCTAGGGGCAAGGTTCACTTCACAGACGCCTTCTGTGGGGCTTATATGACCTTTGCTGTGTCAAAGGAAGGCCACGTCTACGGATTTGGACTGTCAAACTACCATCAGCTTGGTGAGCATGAGATAAAAATGTATTCGACAACCTTCAGAAATACTGTAACAGAACTTGTGGGGGGGGGTTAATCCTCCAAATTGATCTTGATTTATTTTACATTTTAGTCATTTAGCAGATGCTCTTATCCAGAGTGACTTACAGTGAGTGCATACATTATTTTTTTATTTTTCATACTGGCCCCCCCCCAACTATAGCTAGGTTTCCATCCAATTGGCAACAGATTTGCATGTGAATATAGAAAAATCTGCATAAAGAAATATGCGCAGTTTCCCACCAGTGGTGTTTCCACCAAACTGACTTGTGTATAAAAAGCAGTGCGTGATGACATGGTGCACATAAAAGGTACTTTTTCGCGTACGTTTTCATGTACTGTATAAACATCTAAAGTTGAATGTGTTTCCATTGCATTTTCAACTCTACCGATTTAGTTTTGTCACAAACAGTTTAAATAGAAAATGTGCCCACTCTGGTCTTGGCATGTGCGCTCTAGCCAAACGCTCGCAGATACAGTACGGGTAGGCTAGCTTTTTATTTGTCATGGATGCCAAGGATCAATCATCATGTCACCATAATAAGACCCTCGATATTTATTGGAAAGGAGCATCAAACTCATCACTGCAATTCCACCTTGTCTAGTGTTTTGTTGACATTTGGAAAGTTTCCCGACAAATTTGCTGTTTCCATCAGGCCTGTCGTGACTTTTTTTATCTGATGTACTTTACTTGCATAGAATGGTTGGCTGGAAACCTGGTTATTTATTAACACTTTTTGAGTCTCCGATCTACTCTAGAATTGCAGTCGGGTGTGTTGGAGAGAATGTCACACTGTACCCATTGACCATAGACCTCTGTACTAATGTTTCCAGGGACCAAACTCATCAACACATGCTTCGTTCCAATAAAACTTACCTCCTTCAAAAACTCCACCATTAACTGGATGGGCTTCTCAGGGGGACAGCACCACACAGTCTGCCTCGACTCTGACGGTAAGCGCTTCAGGGTCGTATCTTTTATTTTAATCCCTCTTGATCAGATCAACAATGTCAGAACTTGGCATTTATGACTTGGACTGTTCAAGAATCTGTCAACTGCATAGTGCAGCACAAATTGGGAAGATAGAGATGTGATGTCTCTGTCCTCCTACAGGGAAGGTGTACAGCCTGGGCCGGGCGGAGTATGGGCGTCTGGGTCTGGGCCCGGGGGCAGAGGAGAAGAGCGAGCCCACGCCTGTGGAAGGACTGGGTGGAGCCCAGGTGGTGGCATGTGGGGCGTCGGTCAGCTACGCTGTCACCAAACAAGGTGAGGTTATGGCTAGTGTATTTCTTCTTGTTTATAAAAAAATATATAATAATAATAATCTGCTGATGTTGTGCATGTCTACATTATGGTGTGTAATTGTGATAGGAATGACTCCAAGGCCGACGTGTCTGTATATGGTCCACTGATGTGTGTGTTTATTGCAGGGTCTGTGTATGCCTGGGGTATGGGCACTAACCTCCAGCTTGGCACGGGTGAGGAGGACGACGAGTGGAGCCCTGTAGAGATGACTGGCAAGCAGCTGGAGAACCGCATAGTACTGATGGTGGCCAGCGGCGGGCAGCACACAGTCCTGCTGGTCAAAGACAAGCAGGAGAGCTGATGTATCCTCAGGCATGGGAAGGGTGACCTTGTTGGTCTGTACAAGAGGGATCTGTGTTAAATACCTACATGTGGGAGGAGGGGTTTGTAGCCGACTGTAACTTCCTGTGCTGACTGTAACTTCCTGTGCTGAGCCAGGTTAGCCGTAGAGGGAACGTGGTGATGGAAAGGGGCAGGGGTGAGACTGACTAGTCCCTGTTAAAGAGGGCTCTGATCTCGCCCACTCAGTGCAGAAATCCCCTAACGTATTCGGATGTGGTTCAGTAGATCATGATCAACAAGCAAGAGAAACATTTTTTTTTTTTTTTTTTAATCTAGTTTATGCTTAGTTATTTTTTTATGAGAATCTTTAGTATGTCTGTCTGGGATGCCAGTCTGTGTGTCTGTATGTTTGTGGGGGAAATGATGGACGAGCCTTTTAATGAAATCCCAAGTCACAGCCTTTTAAGATTCCCATTTTTGTTCCAAGCAATAAAAAAAACCCACGGCATCAGTAAGATGAGTACTAGTATTTCTCGTCAGCAAGGTCCTTTCATTTGAAAGTCTGGCCTAAGGTGTCTTGAACCATGTAGTTGAGACTGCTGTTCACTGTACCCCCTTGCACAATTATTTGCTGGTCCTATTTGGAAATAAAAGTGAAATTTTACTGTTTTGATCTTCTCTGTTTTTGATTTACACACTGCAATGACAAACTTTGTCCAGGGGGTGGCACTGGTACTACATTGAGGGCCCAATTAGTAGATTACTATAGTGATGACTTGAGTACATCAGCCACACATTTATCAGTCCCTCAACATATATTTATATAAGGCAGCCGACGTAAATTAAAATCACTTGAAGTTACAAATGATTGTTCTGGGGTATAGATCAAAGCCACAGGCTTCCTTTGTGCTAGTGTGAAGGGAAATGTTGCATCTCATGTTGCATCCTTGTTTTTTTCTACTGGCTTTCATCAGACTGACTCATGAAATATGTGGGATCGTCATAAAAAGCCCTAGTAGCTCCCATTTTTCTCAGAAAGCTTTGAAATGCTAAAGAATCTTTCATATGCACTTCATTGACAAGCATAGCCTCATCCCACTGTTTGTAGTGCCTGTTCTCCTTTGGCAGGAAAATGACAGGAAAACATTTGATTATGATGAATGTGCAATTGATCCAGTTTTCAACATGCAGTGTCCTTCAATTGATATTTCATTTAGCAGTTTATTATGACACCATTAAAGGGGGGCTTTTACACTATGTTCCTGTGCTTCTCTAATGGTTTCCTTGACAATCTAAGACTGACAGTCTTGCCAATCTGTGCTGCCTCTGAGATCTCACCCTCCTTAGTGTCTCAGCTCTATCTCTTCTTAACTCATCAACAACCAATGTGATTGAATATAATGAGGTGAACTTCAACCTTACTGGTAGTAGATGATGGGAAAAGGTTCTGGCTACTGGATTTCACAGTACTCGATAGAGTAGATAAGAAATGAGATGAGTAACTACAGCCGATACTGTTTTGAGTGAGATATTAGTTGAAGTAATTTAAGTTTATCTTCAGCCCCAAAATATACTAAACAAAAATATAAACGCAACATGCAACAATTTCAAAGATTTTATGGAGTTACAGTTCATATAAGGAAATCAGTCAATTGAAAAATGTATTAGGCCCAAATTTATGGATTTCACGTCTGGGCAGTGTTGCAGCCATGTGTGGGCCTGGGTGAGCATAGGCCCACCCACTGGGAAGCCAGGCCCAGCCAATCAGAATGAGTTTTTCCCCACAAAAGGGCTTTATTACAGACACAAATACTCCTCAGCACCCCTCAGACGATCCCGCAGGTGAAGAAGCCTGATGTGGAGGTCCTGGAATGGCTTGGTTACACGTGGTCTGCGGTTGTTAAGCAGGTTGGACATACTGCCAAATTCTTTAAAACGACGTTGAAGGCATTCAATTCTTTGGCAACAGCTCTGGTGGACATTCCTGCAGTCATGCCAATTGCACACTCCCTCAAAACTTGAGACATCTGTGGCATTATGTTGTCCCCTGTAGCTCAGTTGGTAGAGCATGGTGCTTGCAACGCTAGGGTTGTGGGTTCGTTTCCCACGGGGGGCCAGTATGAAAATGTATGCACTCACTAACTGTAAGTCGCTCTGGATAAGAGCATCTGCTAAATTACTAAAATGTATGACAAAACTGCACATTTTAGAGTGGCCTTTTATTGTATCCAGCACAAGGTGCACCTGTGTAATGATCATGCTGTTTAATCAGCTTCTTGATATGCCATACCTGTCAGGTGGATGGATTATCTTGGCAAAGGAGAAATGCTCACCAACAAATGTGTGCACAAAATTCGAAAGAGATGTGTTTTTTGTGCATATGGAACATTTCTGGGATTTTTTTCTCAGCTCATGAAACATGGGACCAACACTTTACATGTTGCGTTTATATTTTTGTTCAGTGTAGCTCCTATACAAATGATGTTGTTATTGTATCTCTTACTGTGCTGTAGTTGTGACCAGTGTTAATGTTACTGCAGTGCCGCTCCAGCATTCCACACTATTTTGATCCAAACAGCCCACAACATTATGAATATCGCACACTTTTTCTTAGGAAAAGTAACTATAAAGAATATGTTCAAAAGAGAAATAATATTGGTCTATCTGTTAACTTGTAATATTCATCTGTATGCAGTAATATAATAATATGTAATAAGGCCATGATACATTTGCGATTTTTTGTCCCAATATTGCTGTGCAATGTTGCTGGCAATGGAGTTAGGTATGAGACACTAGAGCAATGATGAGCAACATGGGCTTTTTCCATTGTTCGTTGGAAAAAGCCTATGGAGAAAATCAATGGCATTTTTGTAGGGTTTTTGGATAAACGCAGGAAATAAGGTCTGTGGTAAACACAGGCTAAGGAGATCTTATACGTTTTGTTCTATGAGATAATCTTCATAAACTAGCGTCACTTTTTGTGAATTTTGAAGAATGTATATACAGTTTAAGCACATAAGGCTTCATAATTCATAAAGGTCATGTTAACTGACTGCTATTATCTCATAGAAAAAAACATACAGTACAAGATCTCCTAAGCCTGTGATAACCTCAGACATTCTTTTCTGCATTTATTCCAAAACCCTATAGAGTAGCACAGAATGAGTCATAATACCCATAAACCCTAGCGGTCAAACAGGTGAATGGTGGAAAAACGATTGGAACCATTTCCCTGTTTGGGTATTATGACACCTCTACTGTGGGACTCTATTCTTTCGCCATTCATTTTTCTCATAGGGATGGCTGAATGAACCAGAGGTGACTAATTTCCGGGTTTTAGGACTACAAGCTGGCTAGCTCTATTGCTCGGCAATATCGCCTCAAAGAATTTCCAGTGTATCATGGCCTTTACGTATGCCATTGCCCATACTGTTGACCAGGCATGTTAGCGCTGCAATCTGACTTTGTTGCCTTATTAAAGGCCATGTTGCAAGTTACATTTGCCAATATAAATAGAATATACACCCCTTGAAGATGGCAATAAAATAAATTAAAATAAAAATGTCCCCGGGCTGCTAAAGAAAGAACTGTGTGAAGCACGTGCACTAGTAAGCAACGCCTCCTCAAGTGCATGACGCAGCCTGTGATTTTGCCTGTGACGTTCATTCAGGTGCACTTGACACATTTATGAAATTGCTTAGCCCAGTTACTAATAACTAATAAGCATGCACCCATTAAGGAAATGACTGTAAAAACTGTTAAATCCCTATGGATTGATGAGGAATTGAAAAATGGTTGAGATGGATGAGCCAAAAGAAATGGCAAATAGGTCTGGCTGTACAACCGATTGGCAAACGTACTGCAAATTGAGAAATCATGTGACTAAACTGAATAAAAAGAAAAAGAAACTACACTATGAACAAAGATAAATTACATAAAGAATGATAGTAAGACGCTTTGGAGCACCTTAAATGAAATTTTGGGCAAAAAGGCAAACCCCGCTCCATCATTCATTGAATCAGATGGCTAATTTATCACAAAACCCACTGATATTACCAACTACTTTAATGATTTTCTCATTGGCAAGATTAGCAAACTTAGGCATTACATGCCATCACCAAACGCTGACACTACACATCCAAATATATCTGACCAAATTATGAAAGACAAGCAAGCCACTGGGGTCTGACCACTTGGATGGAAAATTACTGAGGATAATAGCGGAAAATATTGCCACTCCTATTTGCCATATCTTCAATTTAAGCCTTCTGGAAAGTGTGTGCCCTCAGGGTTGGAGGGAAGCTAAAGTTATTCCCCTACCTAAGGATAGTAAAGCCCCCTTTACTGGCTCAAATACCCGACCAGTCAGCCTGTTACCAACCCTTTGGAAACTTTTGGAAAAAATGGTGTTTGACCAGATACAGTGCTATTTTACAGTAAACAAATTGACAACAGACTTTCAGCACACTTATAGGGAAGGACATTCAACAAGAACAGCACTTACACAAATGATGATTGGCTGAGAGAAATTGATGATAAAAATATTGTGGGGGCTGTTTTGTTAGACTTCAGCGCGGCTTTTGACATTAACAATCATAGTCTGTTGCTGGAAAAACGTATACTGTATGTTATGGCTTTACACCCCCTGCTATTTTGTGGAAAAAGAGTTACCTGTCAAACAGAACACAGAGGGTGTTCTTTAATGGAAGCCTCTCCAACAAAATCCTGGTAGAATCAGGAATTCCCCAGGGCAGCTGTCTAGGCCACTTACTTCTTTCGATCTTTACTAACGACATGCCACTGGCTTTGAGTAAACCCAGTGCGTCTATGTATGCGGATGACACAACACTATACACGTCAGCTACCACAGTGACTGAAATGACTGCAACACTGAACAAAAGAGCTGCAGTTAGTTTCAGAATGGGTGGCAAGGAATAAGTTAGACCTAAATATAAACTGAAAGCATTGTATTTGGGACAAATCATTCACTAAACCTCAACTAAATCTTGTAATGAATAATGTAGTAATTGAGCAAGTTGAGGAGAGTAAACTGCTTGGAGTAACCCTGGATTGTAAACTGTCATGGTCAAAACATATTAATACAACAGTAGCTAGGATGGGGAGAAGTCTGTCCATAATAATGCGCTGCTCTGCATTCTTAACAGCACTATCAACAAGGCAGGTCCTACAGGCCCAAGTTTTGTCACACCTGCACTACTGTTCAGTTGTGTGGTCAGGTGCCACGAAGAGGGACTTAGGAAACTGCAATTGGCTCAGAACAGGGCAGCACGGCTGGCCCTTGGATGTACACAGCGAGCTAACATTAATGTCAATCTCTCCTGGCTCAAAGTGGAGGAGAGATTGACTTCATCACTACTTGTATTTGTGAGAGGTATTGACATGTTGAATGCACCGAGCTGTCTGTTTGAACTACTGGCACACAGCTCGGACACCCATGCATACCCCACAAGACATGCCACCAGATGTCTCTTCACAGTCCCCAAGTCCAGAACAGACTATGGGAGAAGCACAGTAATACATAAAGCCATGACTACATGGAACTCTATTCCACATCAAGTAACTCATGCAAGCAGTAAAATTTTTAAAAAACAGATAAAAATACACCTTATGGAACATTGGGACTGTGAAGCCACACAAACATAGGCACAGACACATGCATACAAACACACGATAACATACGTACTATACACACACGTAAAAATTGATTTTGTGTTGTAGATAAGTGGTAGTAGAGTAGGGGCCTGAGGGCACACACTTAATATGTTGTGAAATCTGTTGTGAATGTA